CTTTAAGGGGTGTGCGAATGTTAGAGACTCGTAGGAGTTTACCTTACAGGGGTCCTGGGGACCAGAGAGCTTGCATAGGTGAAGCCCCATGGAGAGAGTCAGGGATGCCGGGTTTCAGCCTCCTGCGCCTCATCCCGAGACCTGCGCCTCCCTTCTGCCCCGTGAGGTGGCGAACTTGCTGCCAAGCTCCTACACGTGTTGAGGATTTGGGAGACTCACCGCGTTTCCAGCCACTTCCCCCTGCCCCGCAGGCCCAGCTCGCCCCGTCATCGCCCCGGGCCTTCTAGATTCTGGGTCTCCATAACTTGAAAAAACCTTTTAATGTTACAAATTTCAAACATAAAGAAAAACCAAAAGAATAGTAAAATAAATACCAGCATAGTCATCCATGGTTAACGTTTTGCTGTTTCTGCTTATAGTTAACTCTATGAATTAGGTATTTTTTTTCCCCTCTGAATCACTTGAAGGAGGCAGACGCCATGGCCCTTCATTACAAACTCTGTAACATGCATCGCTTATGAATAAGAGCATCCTGGCCTGGGCGCAGGGACACACTCCTGTGACCCCAGCTCTTCTAGAGGCCAAGGCAGGAGGATCCCAAGTTCAAGGCCGGCCAGGACAATTTGCAAGACCCTGTCTCAAAATGAATTTTTAAAAGGGCTGGGGATGTAGTTTAGTGGTTGAGCACCCCTGGGTTCAGTCCTCAATACCGAAAAAGAAGGAACAAGAACATTCTTACACATGCCCATAATACCATTATTATCCTCGAGTTAATAATAATTCTCTCATATCAGTCCACGTTAGCACTTATTTAATTATCTCCCAAATGTGTTGTTGGTTTATTTGAAGTGAGATCCATTTAAGTATCATGTGCTTATTTGGTTTAGTCTCTTAGTTTCCTTTAACATAGAATATTACTCACCTCCAATCCCTTTTTTCCCAAGACTCTGTGTGTGTGTGTGTGTGTGTGTGTAAAAGAGGGTGGGGTGGGGTGGGGAGGGAGGGAGAGAGCTGCTGGGGACCAAGCCCAGGGCCTTGTGCATGTTAGGGAAGCACTCCGTTACTGAACTACACGTCCCAGCCCTATTTATTTTATCGTGAGACAGGAGCTCACTACATTGCTGAGGCTGGTCTCAAACTTGCGACCCTCCTGCCTTAGCCTCCCACATCTCTGGGATTACTGGCGTGTACCAGTGTACCCAGCAACACCAACTTTTGGAAGAGACTAGACTAGTTGTCTTGTAGAGATGCCTAGGTGCCAATTTTGTTCAGTGACTTCCTTGTGGTGTCATTTAATTTGTTCTGTTATCTGTATTTCCTGTAACCTGGAAATTAGGTCCAGCATTTTGATTAGATTCAGTTTAATTGTTTTTGGCAAGAAACCCTTGATCTTATAAACTTCCTAATGCATCCCATCAGGAGACATACAAGGTCAGGGGGCCGTTATTAGTGCCTCTGAATCTAATCACTTTGTAAGGAGGTAATTGCCAGCTCTGTCCAATTTATAAGTGACCCGAGGGTGACATGGTGTGACAGTGTGAACACCGGCAGCCACCAGTTGTCAATTATTCTATGGGGGCGATTTTTGCAAAAATGGTGTCTTGCCAAGCGTGCGTCCCTCCCTGTGACTGGCTGCTGTTCTTCCGTGAAGGAGGGCCTCTCCCTGTCACCCAGGGATGGCCAAGGGTCATTGCAGACTGTCAGCCTCAATGCCTCATTCTGTCCCTTCAATTATGAAGTTTTAGGGTGGGAAGTTAGGATCGTGGGTTCTTCTACCAGGACAAGTGACTTCTTTTCAGTGTCAATGTGAACTTAGGATTTTTATCCATTCATCGCTTATAATAATTATTCTTCTGGTGCCCAGATTGCCCCAGATTTAGCCAGCAGGAGTCCTGCGAGCTGGCTGCTAGGTCCAGACTCCCCGGTGTTTCCCTTCCCCAAAGCTGGCATTAAGTATTTCCTCCACATAAATTGGATTATTTTTATGGTGGGATGGTGTTGAGAACAGCGCAGTGTGTAGGTGTGTTGATGGCTACTGGGTATTAATGTATGGCTAGGAAATAGACGCTTTTAAAAATCATCAGTTCAAAATGACATTTTTACATTATAGGGTTTCTTCCCCCTTTTTTTGGTATCTTCTTTTACCTTTGATTACACTAAAAACCTTGGCTCCTGTTAGAAACGTTTATATAATTTCTTAATTGCTGCCAGGTGCCAGGTGTGGTGGCGCACACCTGTGATTCCAGCTAACTGGAGGCTGAAGCAGGATTGCCAAGTTCAAGGCTGGCCTCGGCAACTTAGTGAGACCCTGTCTCAAAATAAGAAATTAAAAGGTCTGAGGATGTAGCTCAGTGGTAAAGTGCCCTGGGTTCCATCCCCTGTACCACAAATGATTAAAATAAATAAATAGCTTATTTGCATTACTATATAACTGAAACAGTTTTAAAATCCCATTATTTCTACTGATGATACAGCAACTGAGTGAGGTTTAAGATTTTCTTGGAATTTTAAAAACTTATGTTCTTAGGTGTATGTATATAGACTAACATGTGCTAAGATCACTTGAAACAATTCTTTCCATTTGGTAGTCTTTTTGGAGGTGGGGGGTACTGGAGATTGTACCCAGGGATGCTTAATCACCGAGCCACATCCCCAGGCCTTTTTATTTCATATTTTGAGACAGGGTCCCGCCAAGTTGCTGAGGCTGACCTTGAACTTGGGATCCTCCTGCCTCAGCCTCCTGAGTCTCTGGGATTACAGGCATGTGCCACCATGCCTGGCCCTCTGGGCAGTCTTATTAGCAATGTGTTACATAGTAGGACTCATTTGTTTCAGTTTGTTTATTACAGGATCTTCTTATTTTTCCTTTGTGATTTACTTTTACTTTTTTTGGGGGGGTGGGTCCTCTCGGATTGAAATCAGGTGCTTTCAACCACTGAGCCACACCCCCGGCCCTATTTTGTATTTTATTTAGAGACAGGGTCTCCCTGAGTTGCTTAGTGCCTCACTATTGCTGAGGCTGGCTCTGAACTCATGATCCTCCTGCCTCAGCCTCCCGAGCTGCTGTGATCTCAGGTGTGCGCCATGTGCCCGGCTTTACATTTCAACAGATCAAACCTGGATACAGTGTAACCGTCCCACTACCCAACAGCACAGCCAGAGCATCGTCCTCTCACCTTTCTCCCCTGCAGGCCATTTCTCCTGCCCATCTATGGGAAGCCACTTTTTTTTTTTTTTTTTTTTAATTAGCCTCTGGTTTATCTTCCAGTGTTTTCTTTTCGAAAGATAAGAGCATCCTGCTTCCCTCCCCTGGGGATGCTGTGCTTTTGGTTTTCGCGGGGTTCGTAGGAGCTCCGTTTCTTACCAGCCAGTCCACATCCCACCTCCTCTCTGGAGCCGTGTCTAGCCCTTGAAGCTTTGCCGTGTTCTTTCCACCGTCTCAGTCCCTGGACATCCCTGCCCCATTTCCCACTGTCCCTTGCCCTTCGGGGTGTCCTGATTACAGACCCTCGGGCATCGTTGCCCACTCCTGTTGATCCTTGCTACCAAATGCCTTTGCTTCCGGAGCCACTGCTGCTGTAGTCATCTGTAGCAGCAGCTCGGGTTGGTGGACTGGCCCTACCTAATCCCTCTTCCAGGCTGATGCCAGTCACCAGGTGACCAGCCATCGGCTGTCATCAGTCATTGACCCCTAAAGATACAAGGAGCTCAAGACTGTTAAGATGGTCTTTCCCAGCATGAGTCCACCGTCTTCTGAGTCTTGCTGGATTGACAAGTAAATCTTTTTCCTGTGCCAGCAACTTGTCCTGTGATCACGGAGCCCGTCTGGAGCCGCGGGTCGACAGACGTGGTTCCCTAATGCCAAGGAGACTGCGTGTTCCTTAGGGCCGGGCAAGGGCCAGAGTTCTTCTGTGTTCCTCCACAGTGTCTGAAGCAGGGCTGGACAGTTCTTGTTGTTGGCAGTGGCTGCGATCTGCCAAGTCACAGTGAACTCCCAGTTAGAGAATGCCGAGTCCCGGCTCGCCTGTGTGTCTGCCCGCATGTCCCTAGTGGTTCAGGGCGTAACCGGGTTTTATGTGTGTTTCTGCGTAGAGACACCTTATTTAATGCATACGCTTTTTTTTTTTTTTTTTCTTTTGTGGTGCTGGGGATTGAACCCAGGGCCTCGTGCAGGTAGGCAAGCACTCTACCAACTGAGCTATGCCCCCAGCCCTAATGAATACATTTTTGATTCACATTGAACCCCCAGGTGATAGCGTTACAGCTCATTCCAGAACAAAGCTTCCCTAAAGGGCCCGTTTTCTGTCAGACACATGGCAGAAACATGTGAGGCTTAGGAACCCGAGACAGCACCTGAGTGTTGCCGGTGAGTGACATTTTGCATCATGGAAATTACCAACAAAATGCACAAACATGCAGAAACGGTGGCCCTCAATAGAACAGGATGCTTGTTTACAGCCTGAGCTGAACTAAGAAGGTTGCGGGTCACCTTGCTTCACTTCAGCCAGGAATGTGCACAGCAGGCAACTCAAATTATTTGCAGGTCTGCCTCTAAGTGGGAGTGACCTTAAAGAGCATCTAGTATTGATTTTTGGGTTTAGTGAGTAGGTGGCTGTGAAACACAGAATTTATAAAGAAAGAGGATGGACTGACCGATGTGATTCTGCAATCTGTATTTGGGGTAAAATTGGGAGTTCATAACCAACTTGAATCTAATGTATGAAATATGATATGTCAAGAGCTTTATAATGTTTTGAACAACCAATAAAAAAAATTAAAAAGAAAAAAGAGGATGGACTGAATAGGTTGAGTTAAATAGATTGGCCTTAGCTGTGTGACCTGGGACTAGTGGCCTTACTCCTCTGGGCTTCCTGTCCTTCCCTGCTCCATGACTGGGTGGTCTTTAAACTTTTCCGCAGCCCTCGACTCCTGAAATTGAGATGGCCTCTTCCCCCCACCTGATTTGCCGGCGGGTCCTGATTGCCTTCGTTTCTCCGCAGGTTTGTGGACTTCCACGCAGCCGCCTCCACCTGCTCGCCCTCCCGGGCCTCCCTGCTCACCGGCCGCCTGGGCCTGCGCAATGGAGTCACGCACAACTTCGCGGTCACCTCTGCGGGGGGACTCCCGCTCAACGAGACCACCTTGGCGGAGGTGCTGCGGCCGGCCGGCTACGTCACCGGGATGATAGGTACCGGGCACGCGTGTCGCCGCCTGGCCCCGGTGGCTCTGCCCACGTCCGCTTTCTGCTTGCAGCTGAGGGTGGCTGAAAGGTCCCCTGGGTGGAGTGACGCGGGCAGGGATCTGTCCTCCACCCCTAGGAGGAACTTGGGGGTGAGCGGCTGCCCTCATTAGCTTGGCCACTCGGGGCAGGGGCGCCCGCACCTTCGCTCTGCCACCCCTAGCGTCTGGCTCCTGTTGTCCCCCTCCTGGAAGCCTCAGCCCCTTGGCCCAGGGAGGGGACGGGAGAGGGGAGGTGGTGCCAGCCTCGCTGCCCACTTTTACCACGAGAGCAGATCTTTCTCGGCCCGAAGAACTGTGCTGAAGTCTTGCTGGCCCCAGCTGGTCACCTGGCCTCCAGGTGCCGGGAGGTGGAAACTGGGCAGGATTCTGGGATGGCCTTGGCCTTGGGCAGGGTTCTGTCCACAGGACGAGTGGGGACTGCCGAAGGCTAGGAGGCCGCCTGGGCAGTGCTGGCCTTGTGGTCCGAGCGCTTCCTTTCCTTTAGGACATTTTTAGGTGCCTCTTACTCAGCATTTATTACGAGCTGGGGCCTGGGAGAGGCTTGTCTTGTCTTGTCTTTCTCTATTTTTTTGTGTGTACCAGGGATTGAACCCAGGGGTGCCTAACCCCTGAGCCAGGTCCCCAGCCCTTTTTATTTTTCATTTTGAGACACAGTCAGGTGGCTGAGGCTGATTCTCAAACGGTGATCCTCCTCCTGCCTGTGCCTCCTGGGGGTTTCTTTGCATCAGAGCCAGAGCAGGCCTTTGAGATGATCATTTCCCTGTTGGGTAGCAAAAGAACCAGCCTCAGACTGGAAAAGGCCCACTCCATGTGGCCTGGCCACCTCCTCCAGGGTCTTGCTTCCTGTCCAGTCTCCCTGCAGAGGCTAGGACAGCCCAGCAGACCTGCAGCACGTCAGGCTGCTGCTGCTTGTTACCCACAAGGACCCGGGTCCAGTGGATCCCTGGCTCCCTCCTCCACAGAGGAGTGGCACAGGAGGCTGTGCCATCAACCACGGGGACTGCCGGGGTCCCAGGGGGTGGGCCCTGGAGCTCCCGGGTAACCTGCAGGAGGTTGCTGTATGGAGCAGGGCCTGCCGCCTCTGGCAATGGCAGCTCCTCTGGGCTAGAGAGTCCCACCTCCTTTCACAGGCCTCCAACCGGAGGAGGACATTGGTTGTCCCAGAAGGGCAAGTCCCAGAAGCCCCAGTTGTAGGAGGAAGGGCCAATTAAGGTCCAACCTTCTCCCTTCCCAGTCCCCTCTCCCTGTACCCTGAGGTATAGTTGTGCTAAGGACATCAACCCCAAGAGGAGGTGCATGGGGCTCCCGCTGGGGGCCGGCTGTTCTTACCAGACAGTTACATGCATCCATTTCAGCCTCACTGCTGAGGAGGGTTTGGTCCCCAGGCCACCTGACTCCAACAGCCCGAGCTGCAGCAGGGGCTGCGGTCTTGGGAGCCAGTGTCCTGCAGGGGCCCCCAGCTTCTCCATGCCCACTGTGCCTGTTAGCAACAGGTGGACGGCCTGCCATTTAGCCACCCCACCCCCAAATCACTGCGCTATCTGTGACCTAGAGAGGATATGTAAGCCCCTCCCTTTGTTGAAATCATGAATTAAAGTACAATTATAGGAAAAATTAAAAACCTGTCAAGGAATACTGAGATCCTTTACATGTCTCATGCTCCGCCTCCACTCTTGATCATTTTACCTCATTGTATATTTAGCCTAATTTTCCTTCCTGTCCATGTTATTTTATATTTCCGTGTGATTCAATTTTACATATTTATTATCATTTAAAATAATTTTTAGATTTTTAATGTAATTTTATACTTCCATGTAATGGTTAATCCAAGCATCCCATACAATGCTTAACCCATTTTCCCCAGTTTTTTGTTAAAAAAAAATTTTTTTTTCCAACTGCTGTGGAGCAATTGTAAGAAAGGAGTTCTATAATGAACTCTTACAGACTCTTTATTTGTGCATTTGTCTTTAAAAGCTACTTGGGGATCCAGACACAGTGCGTACACCTATGATTTCAGTGACTTCAGAGGCTGAGGCAGGAGGATCACAAGTTCGAGGCCAGCCTCAGTAATTTAATGAGACCCTGTCTCAAAAAAAAATAGGGCTGGAAGTGTAGCTCAGTGGTAGAGTGCTCCTGGGTTTTATCCCCAGTACTAGGGGAAAAAAAAACCCAAAACATAATAAAGATAGCTGGGTAGTAGTCACTGAGGCCACGTTAGATAAATCCCTTAGCCATACTCCTTGGCTGCTGTGACTCTCCCCCTCCTCTGAGTCCTTTATGGCCACCACTGTTAGATCTTTGTATCACATCTGTTTCTTTGCCCCCTTGCCTTGGGGGCATTTCCCAGGGGGCTAGTCCAGAGTGGAAGGAACAGATCAGAGGCCCCGACATTGTCAGGATCGTCTGCCCGTTGCCCATTTATCCTCCTAGAACAAACACACTTACAGAGCTGGGAGCCAAGGTTTCTCATTTGCTGCCCGGTAGGTGTCTTGGCCCTGAGCTACTGCGGAGGCTGCCTCTTCCCAGCCGCTACTGGCTGCTGATGTGGTGAGAGAGGAAGTTGTCCAGCTCCTCTGGACATTTCTGAGACTATGTGGCACAGTGCACCTGCTTCCTGGGCCACCCTGTGCCTTGGCCTGGCCCCAGCATGGGAGGCTGCAGCAGAGGGCGGCTCTGAAGCTGCTGTGTCTGTGCCCTGGGCTCTGGGGGGTGGCCTGTCTCCCGCTTTCCCTAAGGCTTTCCTGCCTTGTGGTCACCGTTGCTTGCTGTGACCCCGCAGGCTCCCCTGGGTCTGGTCCCAGAAAGCAAGCTTGGGTCTTGTGCACGTTGGCAGGCTGTCTTTGCTCCTCAGTGAAGGGCAGGGCCGATGGAGGTCCGAGTGTGTGGTCAGCCCCTCCGAGGGCCTGGGGTCTGCAGGAGTCCCTCTGAACATCTCTGTCTTGTTTATCAACAGGCAAATGGCATCTTGGGCATCATGGCTCTTATCACCCCAACTTCCGTGGTAAGAATTGCTGGGGGGATTCGTTACTTGGGAAACAGAAAATGAGGCTGTCTGGGTGAAGAGGCCTTGCTCGCTCCATGCATCCCGTCCTTGGGGTCGTTCAGCCTAGGTCAGGACACCTTTGTTCACAAGGCCACTTGGGTGCATCTGGGGTGCCAGTGCTACCCCATAGCCCCCCAGCTCTCTTGCCAGCACCTTCCTGACCCCCTTCCTTGCTATCTGGTGCCCCATTATCTACCCATCCATCTTCATGTCTCCCGGCTCTTTGCACCTCAGGGAACATCAGACCTGAGAGGTCCCAACACGGCTGCTCTGGAAAGAAGTAAAAATTGTCCCCTGGGTTTGCTGAAGCAGGGGCTGCAGGTCCCTGTAGGGGTCACTGCCTCTGGCTCCTTCCTGCTGCCCTTTCCTTCTGACCTCTCCCCCTTGACCTTGGGGAAGAAGGTCAAGATGAAGTGGCCAGAGCCGATTCTGTGAAAGTCCTTGGCCGAATGATGGATCCCCTCAGTGACCAATTCACCAAGATATTAATGGTTTCCCAAAGTCCTTGGTGGTCTCTTGGGTCAGTGCCCCAGTACACAGCCAGGCTTCTCCCCAAATCTGGGGTCAGAGGACACCCATGGTCTAGACCAGGGGTCCCAGTAGACCTATGGGCTGACTCCAAAAAGCTCCCTGTTTTTGCAAGTAAACTTTTACCGAAAGCAGCGGTACTATCTGTGCACGGGTTCTTTACGGGGGCTTTTGTGCTCAAAGAGTAGAACCGAGAAGCCACAACAGAGACCATCTGGTCCATAAAACCTAAAATATTTACTGTCTGACCCTGGTCTTGGCTCAGCCTGACATTAAACGCAGTAACATTTCAGGGTTGTGTTGTTTACCTGTGAGGCATCCAGAACATTTGCACAAACCAGGTCAGCATGGAACTTACCTTTTTTTTTTTTAATGGTACAACTAACATTTACTAGTCCTTCAATGTATACCACCTACTGGGTTAACAAAGATCTACCGTCCAAATTCAAGGAGTGCAGCGCCATTGGGGAAGACCCGGGTCACCCACGCTGATGAGAAGCTTGCAGGCTGCTGCTCTGGAACTAGGGAAGGAACGGAGGATGGGGCGGGTGGGACTTGCCCGGGCCTGGGGGTTCCCTAGGAAACTGCCCAGCACTGGGCTGGGCAGGACTGACTCGGCTTCACCTGTGAGAGAGCAGAGCAGGGAATTCCAGGCAAAGCCACCAGGGCGTGAGGACGTGGGAACTGGAGGTGACTTGGTCGGAAAAGTGCTCTGGGCAGGTGGGAGGCCCCTGGAGGGACGGAAGGAAAGCGGAAGGCAGCCCTCCCTGTTCTCCAGGCCTGGCGTTGGAGACCCCGGGTGAATGATAGTCTTCCTGAGACTGGAGTTCCGTCCACCTCTAAGGAAATAGAGAGAGCCGAGGAACTCCCCGTGATTGCATTTTGGTTGGCCACTGCTTTTACCCTTTGGAGAGAGGGTTGAGCTTCTCTCAAGGGAGGATGTCAGAATAAACTGTCCACACAAGCCATTCAGGTCTCCCACATCCTTCTCTCCCTGCCCTGCACACCACCCCCCAGCCCCGATCCCATCGGCCCTCCCAGGCCCATCCTTCAAGAAGCATTTGAGATTCCTGCTCCGTCCCAACCCGGCCTCTGCGTCGGGGAGCAACTTCCTCTTCCGACTCCCCTGCCCATCTCTTAGGGCTTAAGCTACACATCTTATTTCCCCTTTAGATGGAAAGTCTCTTGAGGATAGGATTTATTTTGTTTTTTCCTCTTTACGTGTCAGGTGCTTAGTAGGTTTTCACCAAATCCTTACCTGAAGGTGTCCATCATTTCAGTAAGAGTGTTAGACAGTTCATTTCTCTCCAGTTCCTCCCAGCCTGGGTTAGCTGGAATCACAAGGTGTTTTGCAAAAGTAGTCTTATTGCTGAACCTCGCAAAGTGATTTTTCTTTGCATACTTCAAAAGGATATTAATCAAATCCACTTTTAATTACATACTCCAGAGCACTGCAATATTAAACCATGGGATATTAAATTCTTGTCCTGGGTGTGAGAAGGCAGGCGTACAGAGAAGCAACGGAGCTGGGGTGCTAATGGGTTGGTTGCTTCTGTTCCAGGTTTTGACTACTACTTTGGGATTCCATACAGCCACGATATGGGCTGTACTGATGCCCCGGGCTACGACCACCCTCCTTGTCCAGCATGTCCACCGGGCAACGGCTCCTCGAGGTAATGCTCTCCAGCACGCTGGCTGTGGGCTTCAGAATACGGGGAAGCCTAAGGCTGTGGTCCATCCAGAGTCAGCAGGAGAAGCAGACAGGAGATTGTAAGACAGCGAATAAGTCAGAGTGTGTGTCCAGGGCAGACTGAAATGCATTGCTTGCACTCGAATGCAAAGAGGAGAGCCACAGAATATTTCTGATGGAATTTTCCAAGTTCCTTGGATTGTTTAGCTCCAATGGGGAGAGACTTCTGCTGCCAAGGTCTCACACAGGTGGGGCCTCCTTCCTCCTCGGCCTCCTGGCTTTGCTCCTGGGCCATTCACCTGGCCCAGACATTGGACATAAGGAGAGAGGGAGGGTGGCAGGGAGAGAAAGTACACAGAGATCCTTTTGAGCTTCTTTCCGCCCAGAGCAGTTGGCCAGAATTCTGACATCGGAATGTCATGAAGACCCTAAATGGTGTTTTAAAAACATGTTCAGTTAAAAAAGTGCTCATGATATAACTGTAGGTGAAAAAGGAAGAGGCGAGTTATCAGAAGGATCTTCACCACCTCTATCTCCATATCGTCAAGAGCGACTGCAAAGAGATGTGCCAACACGTTAACAAGGGCTCACTCTGGTTGTCCAGCTAAAGGGTCTCATTTCTCCTTTCTTCTTTTGTTTCCAAAATGTTTTCCAATAAGCATCCATGTAGTTATGGTCAGGGAAAGGTAATTAGTTGGGCTTGGTGGCACACACCTGTAATCCCATGCCTTGGGAGGCTGAGGCAAGAGGATCTCAAGTTAGAGGCCAGCCTCCGCATCTTAGAACTCTAGCAAGACCCAGTCTCAAAAAATAGAAAGGGCTGGGGATGTAGCTCAGTGGGAAGGCACCCCTGGATTCACCCCCAGTACCCCCCTGAAAAACAGATCCTAAGCGGTACTCAGGTAAGGCGTCGCACACGCCCTTTGCTCCATTTGTTCATAGGTCGCTCTGTGGTAATTTCTTAGGTCACAAGTGTCTGGGCCACTGGAGTATGTGAGTCTCGGCTGGTTCATTAGTAACAACAGTTAATATAATAATGGCTGTTTGTTAAGAATTGTGACATTCTAGACATTCCCTCCGCTTAGCTCTGATCCACATGACCACTGGGTGAGGCGGGTATTCACCCTGCCCTCACAGAGCTGGGGAGAGAGAGGAATCAAGATTCCAGTCTGGTTCTCTGTGAGTTCAGGGCCTGCATCCTCCATGCGTGGTTCTCAAAGGCGGGTGTTGGACCGGCACTGTGGATCTCATCTGGGTGCTTGTTAGAGATGTAGAAATTTTCCAGGTGTGGTCGCACACCTGGGGAATCCTAGCTACCCTGGAGGCTGAGGCAGGAGGATCGCAGCCTCAGCAACTTAGGGAGATCCGGTTTCAAAGTGAAAGAATAAAAAGGACTGGGATATCGCTCAGTGGTAGAGCACCCTTGGGTTCCATCCCCATCACACTGCGCCCGCCCCCAGATGTAAATGATGGTGGAGTCGTAACAGATAACAAACAGCTGAAAAATTCAACCCCAAAATGGAATTAGCATGACAACACCCAGCAGTAAAAAAAAAAACTGTGCTCGGTCTGGCCTCACCTCCTAAGCCTCTCTAGTGGGGTTTGCATTCACATAGGCAGAATAGGGAGTTTCAAATTCTTCACAAGTTTCTGTCTGGGCTACTTCTAGGCCTCTAACACTGCATTCCCCGAGCCCCTTCCTTCTCCACGCTTCTCATCTTCCCCCTCGTTCTCTGAGGGGATGGGGCAGAGGACTTGAGTATTTCCTAAATTCCTGTGCAGCATCTGTTACCTCCTTTCCTGCTCCTGGGGCACTTCAGTAAGGAGACACCGGCAACCTCAGGTCATGACCATGAGGCTCGCTGTGGGAGCGCCCGATGGCGGGCGCATTTTGGTCTCTAAGACCCAGGGCAGAATTTGCTGTTCCAGGGAGTTGTTATCTATTGGGCTCCTCTGCCCCCTTTCCCCTCATTTGTTAAACTTTCTCCAGATTCTTCAGACATGGTTCAGAATTAAAATTGCCCAGCCCTTCTTATATCCCCTCCTGTCCTGACACCTGGTGTCCCGGGAATTCCTGACCATGGACTTGGGGCATACCAGATGTCGCCCGGCTACACAGAGTTAGTGGAGAAAGCCGGACAGGGGCTGCTCATTGGCTCTGGGACTCTGATTGAAATAAGCTGCCCTGGTCAGACCTCAGTGGATCTCCCTGAAAAACGGGAGCAGTAACATTCCCTGCTGGTAAGCGTGTCGGCGTCCCCGAGTCTGGCCAGCCTTTCCAAGAACACAGAGATCTATTCCAAGGGAATGGGGGATAGTGCTCTCTGTTGGTTTTACACCTGGGGGAGATGGCTGACTGGCAAAATCACTTGCAGCCAGCCTGTGCGGTGTTGTGGGTGCAGTCGTTGCAGTAAAACCTTTCAGGCTCCTCTGTGGCTCCTGAAGTCGGGGAAATGAAGACTTCCCTGTCTGTGGCCTCCACACAGGAACCTTGAAAGGGACTGCTACCCGGACATCGCCCTTCCTCTCTACGAGAACCTCAACATCGTGGAACAGCCCGTGAACCTGAGCGGCCTCGCGCGGAAGTACGCCGAGAAGGCGACCCAGTTCATCCAGCAGGCAAGGTGAGGAGCCCGCCTCCCCGGTGCTGGCCCGTCCCTGCCCACCCCTGCATGCACTGTGTGCCCTGACCTCAGCCCCACCAAGGCCATGGCAGTTTTGTGGTGTAGCCCAATAAAGAAGGATGCATGCATGTCTCCTGTAGGTAAAACGGGAAGACTATCCCCCTGGAACCTCTCGTCCTGGTTAGAAGTTCCTCACTGATGTTTCTAGCATGTTTCTGGGAGTTCTCACGTCTGGCTTTGCTCATGTCCCACAGTCAGGATTTTTCTGTCTTTCTTTACCAGACTGGAGGCTCCTCCTGGAGGAGGGTAGGGCCTCCTCCTCCATTTTGGGCACATTTGTTGAATTCGTCAGTTAGTGAGGTGTATTAGTTTCCTGTTGCTGCTGTAACAAATGACCACTAATTTAGTGGTTAAAGCAACAGTAACTTCCTCTCCTGCAGATCTGGAGGACAGATGTTGGAAATGAGTCTTTAGAGGACTAACATCAAAATGTCAGGGGGCTGCTGCTTTCTGGAGTTTCCAATGGAGAATTTTTCCTTGTCTCTTCTAGCTTCCATTGGCTGCTGGCATTCCTTGGCTAATGGCTGCGTTATTCTGATCTTGACTTCTGTTGTTCCATTGCCATTTACACATCTGTTGTCAAATCTCCCTGGCTCCCTCTTTTAAAGACACTTATGATTGCATTTAGGGTCCACCAGGAGAATCTAAAGTAATCTCCTGATCTCAAGATCCTTAACATAATTGCACCTGTTAAGTCTCACCTGCCATATCAGGCAACATTTCCAAATCCAGGAATTAGACCCCAGGTATCTTTGGAGGTCATCATTCAGCCTTTCAAACAGGGTTACACATTTCTGCATCTACAGGGCCCAAAAGGTAACCTGAAAGAGCAAAGCAGGCTGAGTGGGAGGCATTAAGGAATGGCAGGGCCTGCGGTGAACATGTAAGCTACACCCCATGTAAGGGAACAGCTGCCCGCTAGCTCCAGCTGCATAGTGGGATGGATGGGAATGTGAGCCTGGATTGCCAGGTATTCCCATTTCCAAGAGAGACAGGATGTTTAGCTCTCATGTGAAATCCCATGATCTTAAAATGTCAGAACTTACAAATTAAAAATAACGAAAAGCAAAAAAACAACACCCGCGCCACAGCGTGTCTCTAACACACCCTGCGTGTTGCGAGGCCTGCTGGTGTGCAGCCTCTGCCTGGTCAGAGCCAAGAGTGACCCAGTGAGTGCTCATCTTATCTTTCCTTCCAGATTGTAAACTCCTCAAGGGCCATGGAGTCATTTCTGTTAGGTCCACAGCCTCACCCTAAAGGAGAAAAAAAAAAAAATGTGCCGCATGACCATCTGCTCGTGCAGAATCAAGAGACTCCCCTGTGGATAGGGGTCAGCTCTGCTCCTCGGATGTGCGAGGATCTTCCACCCTTTGCTCGGCCATGTTGGGCTTTTCTGGAGAGGAGAGCCGGGGGGAGAGTGGGCAACGAGGGAGACCCAGTGATCAGGTTCTCTTGATGAAGCAATCCACGGCTGAAGGCCTGACTCTCAGGAGCAGCCCCTGAGGGCCTTCAGGATCACACGTCAAGGGTTCACCTGGACTTTTTTGAGAAACACTGTTGGTTTTTCTCAGATTGCTACTATAAAAAGGGCCAAGTCCCTTCTCCCCTCGGAAGAGTCGAACGTCCCTGGAACTTTGAGATGGTTTTAGGCTGTCATGTACCACGGCCAGTGGATGCTTCCCGGCAGGTGGGGACAATCTTGCTTTTGCAATGTCTCTAACAACACAGGGATATTTTTCTTCTCTCTCTCTTTTTTTCCATCCTTCTCCCCTCCACACACACTCCAGCTGGGGGAATTGAACCCAGGGATGCTCTACCACTGAGCTTTTTAATTTTATTTAGTCTTTTTAATTTTATTTATGGCTAAGTTACTGAGGCTGGCCTTGAACTTGTGATCCTCCTGCCTCAGCCTCCTGGGTTGTTAGGATTATAGGCGTGCACCACCATATCAGGCCTCAAACAGCGCAGGTTTCTGACGGGGAGCTATGGCTGGGGACCAGGGACTATTTAGTGCCTGCTGTGCCGTGGGCACGGTACCTGGACATTCACCAGTTAATCAATGAGTTAAGACACCCATGAACTCCGTTCTCCTTATCAAATGAAAAAGAGTGAAGACTTTGCTAATTCATTCATTAGTTGAAAGTCATGAACCCTGTTGGCTTTTCACTTTATAGAAGGTCATTCTCAGGCACGCAGCTTTCTTTGGGATTTAACCTGCTCATTCACCCATGAGTTTCTGAGCCTCCACAGAAAAGGCCCCTAGACCCTTGCTCCTTCCTTCTTCAGGACCCCACCCCACCTGCCCTTCTTTCCACTTGGACCCGTTTGTCAGAACCACCAGGTGTCCCTCGAGTGTGTCTTCCTGCTTATTCTTGGGAAGAAACCTCCCCCTAGGACTCCTTTGAAGGTGTGTGTGTGTGGGGTGGTACTGGGGACTGAACCGAGGACCTCCCACATACTAGACAAACACCCTACCACTGCGGCATGTCCCCAGCCTTTGAGAGTTTTCCCTGGGTCTTCACTTAGTTTCAGCCTTGCTGAACTCTGATCCTGGGTCTGGGTATCTGAAGACAAGGCTCTGATGGGAAAGTAGGCGGGGAGTTCATGTCATGGGCTCCTGGGTCGCGCAGCGGTGGGCCCTTACAGGGAGGGTCTGGGACTGTGTGTGGAACCCGAACAAGTGTATTGGGATGGCATAAATGGTGGCTTAGGATATCTGAAGTCCGAGGCTTCTGGGAAACCTAGAGTGTGGTCACTATCCCAGCGTGTCCGAGACTGTAGGTCTGTGTCCCCACCTAGCTTTGTACCTGCAAGCCCTGACCCCTGACCCCTAAGGGGATGGGACTAGGAGGTGGGACCTTTGGAAGGTAATTAGGTTCACATGAGGTCATGAGGGTGGAGCCTCGGGATGGGATTAGTGTCATCAGAAAAGGAAGATCTGGGCACGGTGGTGCAAGTCTGTAGTCCCAGCGACTCGGGGAACTGAGGCAGGGGGCTGCCGGGGTAGGAACAGCATGGTGAGGTGCAGGAAGGTGGAGGAGGTGGGGTGGGAGGCTGGAAGTCAGGCAGAGCCCCGGAGGGGGAATGGAGGCAAGGAAGAGACCGGTGCTGAAGGTCACAAATGCCGGCCGTAGTGTCGGGGTTGACCAGCTGTCTGCAGGGCACCCCGGGAGGTTTCTACATGGAGAACTGCCAGATCAAGCGCGGGTTTGTGAAGGTGGCTCTAACGCCAGGGTCCAGAGGGAGACAGAGAAGTAGAGGGGCAAGTGACCGCTGCTGCCTCCCTTCTAGAGATCCGAGGGGTCACCCCAGAGGCCAGCGGTGGGGAGCTGCCCCTCCCTCCCAGCTTGAGGGAAACCCCATCTCACCCAGGCCTGCCTGTCTCTGGCCAGACACCAGCTGGCCACCCTCCTAGCGAGGGGACACCCCTTGCCTGTTGTTCTGCTTTTCCCAGCAGATGTTTTCTCGGGCTCGACTGACCCTGGTCTGCATCTTCAGCACATCCCCGGGCCCTGCCCGGCCTGCTGTCCTGGAATCTCCCCCCGGGCATTGTCCTCGGTATTTTTGTCTGTCCACCACTCTGCTTGTTTGGCCACACAAATAGCCTGTTCCCTTTAGAGATCCCTGAAAACAGAGATAAGCCAACAGAAAAAAACCAAACATCATCCCGAGTCCCACACCCCAGAGATGACCCTTTCCACAGATCTGCATGTGTTCTTGCAGCCCTAACCCTCGGCTGGGGCGCAAACACATTTTGCTGCAGCTTCATTAAGGACGACTGAAGGAGACATTTTTCAGGCACAAGTGGAAGCACACTAATAATCCGACTTCTTTTCACCCAGAGAGCACCCGGTCTCTCCCACTCTGCTTTCCATTCAGCCCAGACCCATACTCAAGATGTGGCTTGGGAGACAGATGCCCCCAGGGACCCGTTTGTGTCCACCCTGCATGACATCTTTGTGAATCCTCATCTGTCCTCAGGATGCAGGAAAGAGGTCCCTCCCTGGGTACCAGGTACCCTCACCGCTGTGGCCTGCGTTCGTAACAACTAACAAAAAAGCTGCTGTTTATTCAGCGCTTGCTGGGGGGCAGTTAATAATCGGAGCAGCTTTGTCAGGGAGATATGTTTCCCCATTTTACAGATGACGGAGAATAAGTCAATCAGAGTTGCGTAGCCATGAAATAAAAAATCCCGAGATGTGGCCGCAGCCCTCCCAAGCCTGGGTCCTTCATCTTTCCACTCTGCCACCCCTTGTTCTCCTCTGCCTCTTTGAACTTCTGTGTCCCCCCCCCCCCACACACCGAGGTTCGTATGTGCAAGCCCTAACCCCTAAAGGGATGGGACTAGGAGGTGGGACCTTTGGTGCTAATGTGACTTTGATAAAGGCGGGAATGTGGAGGAGGATGGCGGGGTGGGGCCCAGGGTGGGCATTGCGCCATGTGTGGTACTGAGCTCCCGGAAAATGGCCCCGGCCTGTAGAGAAGGCCCATGTCTTTGGGGTAAATCCTCTCACTGTAGCTGATTTCTAGCCACCCACGAGATACCACCGAGGGTGAAAATGAGCCACAGCACGCCATTACGTGGGAGTCACAGATCTGAATGTGGCACATACACGAACATGAAAATCGCTGCCTTAACTCTTTCGGTGTAAAGTTCTGTGGCGTTGAGTAGAGTGACATTGCTGTGTGACCGTCACCCCTATCTCCCTGCAGAACACCTTCGTCCCTCCTAACCAACACTCTGCACCTGTTAATCAGGAACTCTGACACCATCAAAGATGATGTCCTGCAGGGTGTACACCAACGGGTCCCCGGGGGCCTCGGTCTCCCTCCTTCCCCCTCCTCCCTCCCCCTCCTCCTGGGCCACTCATTGTTCTTCTTTCTGTCTCTGAATTTAACTTTGCTGCAGACGAGTGGAACCATATGTATTTGTCCTTTGGTGACTGGATTAGCAGGATGTCCTCAAGGGTCATCTGTGATGTAGCATCCCAGGCATTGGATTTTAAATTTTACTTGATTTTCATTAACTCAATGCAAATAGCCCCCGAGACCTGTGGCTGCTCCGTTGGCTGCCCAGCTGTGGGCCCGTGGTGATGAACCGTCGGCTGCACGGGGAAGGCCGAGGCCCTGTCTCGGGACGGGTGTCCTGGGTTTTACGCCTGTTAGAGAGAGAGCTAAGGACAAGCGCAGTCCCCATCACTGGACCTTGGGGGGGACAGCGTGCAGAAAGCTCCCAGAGCATGGCTGAGGCTGGGGGTGATGTGGACCAGAGTGAGCTCAGGAGAACACGGGGATGATTTGAAAGCCGAGTGTCTGGGGAACTGGTGAATAAGGGGCCCTGCTTCTGTCCGCACCCTGTGTGTGTACTTGATTGAGCTTACTCACCCCCCTTCTCTGTGTGCTTAACAGACGCCCTCCTGTGGGCATGGCCTGTGGGAAGGGCCTCCACCAGGGGCCCTCTACAGAAGAGGACAGATAGTGGTTCTACAGCTGCTCTTGCCTGGGGGTGGGGTAGGGAAAGGCGGTTTCTGAGCAATACCAGAGGCCACAGGGCCTTTGCATGGAGAAGAGGAGGAGCTTGGACAACACGAGTCCCCTGTAGTATGTTCTAAGTAAACGCTGAAGGACTGTTACTACGACATTCTCGTTTATAACCTGCTGACCAGATGAGCTCCACATTTCCTTAGAAGGTTATAGATAAATGTGTCCTTGAGCCCGTGGCAGAACCTTTGGGGGGGTCCCCCAGGTCAGGGGGGATCCCAGAGGTGCAGTTACCTCTAGTGTCCCCCTTTGTTTCAGTGCCAGCGGAAGACCCTTCCTGCTCTACGTGGGCCTGGCCCACATGCATGTGCCCCTAGCTGTGGCTGGACCACGGGCAAACCCACGGGGCCAAAGCCCATACCGCGCGGGTCTCCGGGAGATGGACAGTCTGGTGGGTCAGATCAAGGACAAAGTCGACCACATGGAAAAGGAAAACACGCTCCTCTGGTTTACAGGTAAAGTGGTGAGAGCCAGCCAGCCTGGCTGCGTGTCCTGGGTAGCCCTGCACCTGCCCCGCAGAGAGCAGAGCCTGGTCAATGGTCCTCTTTAATGGGGCCGAGGCTCGCTTTGAACTTGGGGCCCTGATGATGGTGGTTGGCCTCCATGTGAGCATGTGTCTACTGGGCACTCGATGGCTGGGGCCCTGGAAAGGTGTGTCTGAACGATGCTTCTCGCTGGCCCCATGTGTGTCGAGGAGGGCCTCCCAGGTCTTGCTCTTAATTGCCAGTGAATGACTTTGACCTTGTGAACTTCTGCAGTCTTGGTGCCGCTCAGCAGCCTCCTGGTCCCAAAGACTCCAGGTGCTATTGGTCGCCAGGTCATATCTTTTGGCTGAGTGACCCTCATGGAGCTGAAGTAGTGACCCCTCTAAAGGGCCCATACATGGATTGTGTGTCTCAGGTCCCTTCCTGGAACAAGGGCAGTGGTAAAAGCACTGCTTTGGGGTCAACTCCAGACCTGGGTTTGAATCCGTATCTACTGTTGGGAGAGTGATCTTTACACTCTAAGCTTCAAAAACTTGGGCTTCTAGAAGAACCTACTCCACGGCATGTTGGGAGCTTACGAGAGGCTGGATAGGAAGCAGTAGGTGCATAATAGATGCTTAGTGAGTAGTTGCTGGCTGGTGCCAATGCCTGTGTTATTGGGATGGCTAAACCCATAAGCAAGGTGTAAGGCGAGAGGCTCAGGGGGCCTGGCCGAGGCAGGGAGCCCCTCCCCGGCAGCTTAGTAAGACAGCCCTTGTCAAGGGCACTTCTTCAAGGGGGGGTTCAGGGTTATTTCTACAAGTCCTTCTCTGACCAGTCTCCTGCAGTGCACGGGGCTGTAGGGCCAAGGAGGGAGAGTTGGTGAAAGTGTCCCCCAGCCACTGACCATTGGGTGTTGTTTTTCTGGTTTCTAGGAGACAATGGCCCGTGGGCTCAGAAGTGTGAACTGGCAGGCAGCGTGGGTCCCTTCACTGGACGGTGGCAAATCCATCAAGGTAGAGGGCTCAGCTGGGGCCAGCAGAGCCCACTGCGGGAGCCGGCTCGGCTGGACGAGGGGTTCTGCCTGGGGGTGGGGTTCTGCCTTGGGGCATCACTGTGAAACAGGGACACAGGGACTCACCAGCCACCGGCTCCCAGAGAGGAAGAAACGAGCTGGATGGGGGTCAAAGGTCCGTTCAGCCTAGACCATCCCTTTTTAGCCTTCTCTCCCAGGAGGTCCTAAGAGGACCAGCCTTTGGCCTCAGGAGGCAGTCCACAAACCTTGCAATAAGTATGTGTTGACTTTGTTCTTTTCCTCCTCTCCTTTTCTTGTCTTCTGTTTTCATCATCCTCCTGGTCATTAATTTATTTCATTCATTTAAGAAACATTGAGTGGACCCTTAAGCAAGTGAAAGGTAAGTAATAACATCTCCATTTCTAGATGAAGACAGACGCTCAGAGAGGTTGAGTAACTTGCCCAAGGTCACACAGTTTATGAGACAGAGCCAGGCTTGCCACACAGTTAACGTTGGTGCTCTCCCTGCTACACCAGCCTGCCTCCAGCTCAGGTTCTGTTTAAACATCTTCCAGCCTCCAGCTCAGCTCCCATCTGCTCTGGGAAAGTTCCCCACAAGGACCTCAGCCTCTGAGAGCACGGCCCTACTGGGTACAATATGGCATATGGACCAAAGGCTGGAAAAATGTGTTGCCTTTTGATACATTGCTTCCTCCTGTGAGCATTCATCTTAAGGAAATAATTAACCAAGTACATGGCAATGTATGTAAAATGAGTGGTCATTGCAGCATTTATATATATATATATAGAATAGCAGGACATAATCCCCACATCAGCAAGAGAGGAGTGTCTAGAGAAATCGTGATACATCCATTTAAAGGAAAATTCAAGGCCAGGTGCAGTGGTGCGCACCTGTGATCCTAGCAGCTCTGGAGGCTGGGGCAGCAGGATCACAAGTTCAAGGCCAGCCTCAGCAACTTAGCAAGGCTCCAAGCAACTTAGCAAGACCCTGTCTCTAAATTAAAAAATGTATTAAAAGGGTTGGGGCCGGGCCTCAGTGGTAGAGCACTTGCCTAGCACATGTGAAGCGCTAGGTTTGATCCCCAGCCCTACAATAAATAAAATTAAAATTGTAGAAGGTGCTTATATCCAAGGGTTTCTGAGACAAGACTGCCCCTACTGAGGACTGTCCATGACAGGGTTTTAAATCTGGGCTTCCACTCCCTGCTGAGCGAGAGCCCCCAGCTGTCCCCAGACAGGGGGACTCACATCCTGTTAGCTCACGGCTGCTCCTAGTTCCTGGGCTTCCTTGTCCCTGGCGTCTGGTGGTGGGAAGGAGATGCTGGTCATTCATTTTTACTTTTCTGCTTCAACCTGGCAACCCTTGGATCAGGTCCCTTGAGAACTTCACAAGCAAGGGACTGTCAGGCCGGGGTCATGTATTGGGTCCAGAGATTTGAGTCAGGGGTCTGGAGAGCCGGACCTCACCCTCACCTGCAGTGATTGGACCACTTTATCTCATGGGCCTTTGGTGTCTATATGGATCATTGGGGTTCCCTCCAGTTCAAAAAGGCAGGGGTTTAGTTCTGATTCCTGGAGATAGCTGAGGAGATGCTGGGGAGGAGAGAAGTGTTGGGGGGGGATGTACTGAATTCCTGCAAGCAAATAGCCTAGAGGAATACAGTGTATCTGGGAGTGGTTTGTTGCATGAGCTGATTTTGGGGGGGCACTGGGCATTGAACTCAGGGGCACCTTACCACTAAGCCATATACCCAGCCCTTTTGAATTTTTTATTTGGAGACCGGGTCTCACTAAGTTGCTTAGGGCCTCCCAGATTGCTAAGGCTAGCGACAAACTTGTGATCCTCCTGCCTCAGCCAGGATTCCAGGTGTGTGCCCCGATGCTCGGCTAATAATGCATTTTGAGACAGTGACTGTGCCTTCAGGATGTGGACTGGGGCCCTATTCTTTGGAAAATTTTACCCAATAAGAAACTCATTTCCCAGCGGGGTAACCTCCACCCCCCTTCCTTTCCTTTTCTAAGCATTTGTTGAGCACCTACTCTTTCCTGGTCTCAGTGCTGGGGATACAAAGATCAACAAAGCCCCTGACCTGAAGCAATGGCAGGCTGTCGGGGATCCTGCCAAAATGCCGTGCTGACCCAGGGGACCAGGCTGGCCGTGGAGGCTTTACATTCTGTCCCAGGTGATGCCATTGTAGCTGGTCTAGAGATCACACTTTGGAAAACCAATTTAGGAGATCCATGTCTACACCCTAGGAGTCTAGAGTCCTCCAAGTCTAGAACTTCCAGCTCTGGTCCATGGTTGTCAAAGTGTGGTCCCTGGACCAGCATCGTTAGTGCTCCCAAGAACTTCTTCATGGGGGATGGGTCCCGGCAACCTGAGGGTCAGCATGTCCTTCAGATGATGATACGGGTTAAAATTCGGGAGCCATCTGTCTGGAGTAACACTGCTCGGTATAGGAGACACTAACCCCGTGTGCCTGTTTAAATCAAAATGAATGAAAATTCAATTCCTTACACTAGCCACACTTCCACACGTGGCCAGGGCTGCCATATTGAATAGTGCAAATGGGCCTCCACTTGGTGGTTGGAGTTTTGAAGCCTGAGTCGGAGACAGACAGGGCTGTGTCGAGAGAAGGTTCTGGGCAGGGAGGGAGCGTCACAGCCAGGAGCTACTCTCTGGAGCCACCCAGGGTCTATGCATCTCTCTTATTCTACATCCAGGTAGAATAGAGAGAGACAGGGTCAGTATCTGAAGGCCTCTTCTTTAAGGCAGAATGCTTTTGGTCCTAATTTTTTAAAGAAATGTGAAATGATGGAATTTAAGAGTGAACATGACATGGTTTAACTTTAGAAATTGAGGTGAACTTCATATCCCATTAAATGAACCATTTTGAATTGTCCAGTTCGGTGGCATTGACCACATTCACAGTGTTGTGCCACCACCCCGTCTGTGAGGTTCCAAGGCATTGTCTTACTCCCCGAGAAAAGCCTGTTGCTCCCCGCTCCACCCCCTGCCCCCAGCACACCATTCAGTCAACCTCAGTGGGGCTGACAATAGGGAGCGGGGGCCCTGGACTCATTTCCATTGAACCAGAGACTATAAACCAGAGAAGCCAGAGACAGACTCTCCAGGAACAGCCTCACTTTAGTGGGAAGTGACCTCTTTATCGCACTCACCATCTGGGCCAGAAGGGGAAACCGAGGCCAAGGAGGTCGAGGGCTGACCCCAGGCAAGGCAGGAGTCGAGGGGACCGTGTTATCTGGCCTCTGCTGGCCCCGTCCTCAGCCCATGTAATCACCCTTACTCAGACCTTTTTATATCCCAACAACTGCTCAGCTGCTCTGAACCTCTCGGTCCTTAAGGAACACGCCTTTAGCCCTGTGACGGGCTGAGCCTTCCTAGGTCTGTGGGAGGCAGAGTGGGAACATGGAGAGAGCTGACCTCTTTGGAGGCCCAGACGGGCCAGCGTCCCCACTGCTACCTCGTCAGCGTAGGAAGCTTGGTTTCCTCTTCGGTCCTGTGGGCCCGTGGACCCCCGTTCAGTGTGGGGAGACTCATCTGGGGTACTGCCTGGGCCACCCACCCTCCTGCTTGGCCTCCACTGATAGTCTCCACTAGACTGCTGCTTCTTCCTAGCGGAAAGGACCGGTGTACCCCACCAAGAGAGGGGCTGAGGGGGGGTCGGAAAATGCCCTGAGAAAGGTTTCCCTGCGGACGAACCAGGCGGCTTAAATAACACAGTGACCGTGTTCTGGGCCCTCTGTCTTGGGAGACTTGGCTCCTTGAGTCATCTCCTGGCCACACTGTATTTGGGGCAAGGCTTTGTCACAAACTTGTGACATGATAAGGTATCTGTGGGGCACAGCACTTGCTGGTGGGGCTGGATGCCACTCTCAGGGGACTCCCAGAGCCGACTCTGAAAGGCAGTTTCTTCGGGGTAAACACTTGCTTGTTCCAGCCAGCTTCCTGCCAACTGCTCCACAGCCTCCTTCCTCCTCTCGGCCCCGAACACTGCGGGGATTCTGGGAAGCCGGGCAAAACCCTGCATGGAACCTGCGTGCGGTGGGGCGGGAGCCACCCCATGGGTCAGGGGCTGGGGTTCCTCTGGACCACCTGCTCTTCGTCACCCAGGTTCCTGTCAGTGGGAAGCCTGCCCATCCCGCAGCAAGGGGCCCGGTCTCAAGAGCACACAAAGGAGAGAAGATAGTCAATGTTTTCGCAACGAGTAGGACAAACAGTACCGGGCCCGCTTCTTTCTCCCCGAAGGCGGCCTGCTAGACAGGCCACGCGCTGTCTTCCCCTGTTCCCGGGCCGGCCCCCTCCTCCTCGTCCCTTTCCTGGCCAAGCCGAGGCTCAGCTGATGGGATGAGGCAGCGTCTCCTGGAGTCCTCTTCTCGCCGGCCCCGTGCTGGAGTGAGGATGCTGCCCTTGGCTCGCCCTCGCCCCACCGTCGGGAGGAGGAGAAAAGGGCCAGGATGCAGGGGCCTGTCCCCAGGCGCGAGGCCGGAGTCACGCCCGCTGCCCCATGGGCAGGAGGCCCCGCCAGGGCGCCAGCCTCCGTCTCGCTCTGAACCTGCTTCCTCCCCGGCCAGGCCGGCACCTTGTTCTCCCCAGGACTGCTCCTGTCTGGAAACCTCCCTGGTTTTGTTGAGGAGCAGAACTGTTCCTTCTCCCGGGTGATGAGGAAACATTGTGTGGCGTTTGGCGTGGGCACCTCCGGGAGGCCTTGGCTGGGTGAAATCCGATGCTATCAGGGCCTTACGTAAGGCTCCCCACTGGGACAGGCCTCTGCGCCCTGGGCTTTCGCTCCAGCGTGAGGCAGGGGGTAGGGCAAGGAAAGGTCAGAGATGCTGGGGGGACAGCGAGGGACAAGGCTCATGGCTGTTGGCTCTGGCCGGGGCAGGGCCTGCGGGCGAGGACCCAGCGGAAGTCCAGCTCTGTCTCTTTCTGGCGAGGGCCACCAGGCTTGGTGGAATGTCCTCACTATCATGCTCAAGGCCACCCCGGGCCAGCAATAGCCCTGGGTTTCTAGAAAACCAGTAGACCACAGGTGTCCTTGGTAAGGGCCTGAGTCTATATTTAGAAACCAAGCTGGCTTCTCTGGAAGGTTGTGGAATGTGCATTCCTCAGGACATCGGTGCAGAGGAGCCACGCATGTTCATGCCTTGGTGGGACAGGCAGGTGACGGGCAGTGCTGGGGATCGAACCCAGGACCTTGCACATTCTAGCAAGGGCTCCATCACTGGGCCACATTCTTAGCCCACCCGTGCTATCTTCTACCTATTTTTGAGAGAGAGGAACTTGCATTTGTTGGACACTTTGGGGACAGGCTCTATACCAAAGAACCTTTCACATCCGTGGTCTTAGGTAACTGTTCCCATACCCTGTACCTACAAGAGCCTCCCCCCCACCTCACGGCCCAGAGGCTTGATAACTGAGGGAGGTTTCAGATACTGCCCGAGGCCATGTGATTGGAAGGAGCGGCCCTGGAGTTAGGACTCAGCTCTGCCTGGCTCCAGAGGCGTCCTCCTGATGACCCTGCCGGTGCTCTTCCAACTCTGGTCTCTGGCCTGTTGGGCATTACAATCTTCTAGAACCAGAGCCCCACCCCAGACTTATTGAATTAGATTTTTCAGGGGATAGAACCCAGGAGTCGGAACCTGAAGTCAGTCCTCTCAGGGGTAACTCTACTGAATGGAGACATTTGCACACCTCCTTCCGGGGGACACTGCCCCTGTGAGTCACTGAGGAATGGCAGAAAGGCTGCTATTCCCAGGCGTAGGCAGGGGTGAGTCTTGCCCGGTCGGCCCCTGTTATGATGCACCGCGGAATGCCACTCTACTTCTGTAGCCAGGGAAGAAGCAGTAAGCAAAGTCATGAATCATGGTTCCGTTTGTATTCTGGTTACTGAGGCTAAATATTTATTTCTTTAAGTAAGAGGTTCTGCTTTAATTAGAGTCGTAAGTAACCACAGATGCATCGAAAAGCATTCTCACGGCCATAAGATGAACATCTCTCAACCAACGCCCAAAAGCAAGGCGCTCACATTTTTTAATGGATCAGTGAACTTGGATCAAAGTATTCAGGCTTATCTGAACCAAGCAGGAGCTTTCGAAATGGAGAAGCGCCCAGAAGTTTAATTTGTGGACTCGTGCATTGTTCTTGCTGTAACTTATCAGGTCACATTTATGATGTGGTGGCATAAAAGTGTAAAGGTGTGGGCAATCTAAAGCCTGTGATCCAGAAGGACATAAGCTATATTTAGTTTTGAAATGGGTCCACTTCCTGATCTGACCAGGGATGGACACTCCCTTACATTCAGTCATTGGGAGACCCTCGAAAGATATTGGTGTCCATGCCAGTTAAATCACATCTGTAGGAAAGGGGCGTTAGCTGGGCAATTTTGTAAAAGCTCCACCAGTGATTCTAACTGCATTTATGGATGGGAATTGCTGCCCTAGAAGGTTCAGTAGGGGGAGGGCGTTGGCTGGGCAGTTAGACCTGGCTTTGGATTCTGATTCTACCATTTGCTAGCTGTGTGACCTTGTGTGAATATTGAACTTCTCTGAACTTTGGTTTCCTGACCTGAAAAAAATGGAGGTAAGAGTGCCTGGCTTGGAAGTTTGTCATACGGGTTCAATGGCATAGTGCAGGGAAGAACCTGACATGACACTTAGCAGCATTTAACTTGGTGTTTGGTAAGGGCACAATTAATAAGAGAGATTATTGGTAATGTTAATATCATGCTTAACTCAGAATGGGTTTCTGTGAGTAGGAGCATGGGTCACTGAAGAACGTTGGTGGGACAGGGCAGCTCTTCTGGACTTTGGCCATGGCTGGTGAAGATGAACCACAGCAAACAAGATTCTGTGCAAGCGCATGCAGCTAGTCATTAGACTCCAGAGCCCTGGGGATCCACAGAGAATTCTAGTCGGATCATTTTTTTGTCTTCCTCTAGCAGAGCCACCGAGAACCTGGGATTTGGAGCAGGATGGTGTCCGTGTTCTGGGTGATGAGTATTTTTTTCATAATTGCCCACACTTGAGACCCTTAAGCTAAATTCCCCTTTGAGAGCCTAGTTTAGGGGCCTGTGACCAGTGCGGCTTGAATCTAATTGGGTCTTGCTGTTTAAGGCAAGGTGCAATTGGATTCGCTGACCAGCCTTGACAGCATAGAGAGAGATTTGTCACTGAGTGGCCACCCTGAGGGTCTTCTCTGAGCTGAGCGATCTTGTTCTCTTTCTCCCTGAATCTCTGCGTGGGGTTGTCTGCTTTGCTGACACCCACATGCTGAAATACTGGCTGAATTCCTCCCCATCCCTCCAGCCATCTCTTTGCTGAAAGAAGACAACACAACCTGATTCTTCTCTCTGAAAAACATATTGACAAGGTCAGTCACCTGCAAAAGGGTGGCACAGAGGTCGTGGCAATCAAGCTGAGCCTCTAAGAGTGAAGAACAATTAGCATATTTACTAATTAGGGGCCAGTTTACCCTTCTGGAAACGTCCTGGGGTCCAGGACTGAACCCTGTGTCCCACTGCCTGTCGCAGAACAGACCCGTGGCTCTTGCCTTCTGGAACCCAAACTTTGACCTTTTCTTAGCATCTGGCCTCAAAGGTTACTCAGGTCCATTTCAACACTGTGCCCCATGGACATGCAACTCCCCAGGCGCCGTGGCTTCCAGGTGTCCACACAGATGACCCTCCTGGGCTGGGAATTATCCACAGAGCCTCAGCACCTCGCACCTGCGAGGCTTGCTCCTGGCCTTTTGGCCTCCGGCGTTCCAAGGCCACATGGAAATGAGTTTATGCTCCCTTACTTCGTGATTCTCCGCCCCACGTGCGTGGATATTTGGAAAAGACTCCGTAGGAATTCTCTGGACGGGAAGACTGTATTTGAGAAATGCTGGGCGAGATCAAAGGGCTTCTCACTCAGCCTGCAGAGACTTCAGCTGGTTTCTGGAGCCCCACACCCTTCAACATAAACAGGGCCTAGGACCGTGGTGGTTTTGTGATCTGCTTCTTGGGTTCTGGGGCGGGGGGCGATTTCCAGAGCTGGTGATGAGAAGGTCCTGAGAATGCTGAGCATTTCCGGTGTGGGGTGCTGGGCCAGGGACATCAAAGGTTCGGTTGGTGGCAGTGCGAGTGCACAAGGACAAAGCCTTCATCTGGATTCCCCTGCCCACCCCCCACCCCCGCCCTCCATTGCTTTTATTATTCACACCAGCCAAACATGGGGAAGTCGCCTGACCGCAGCGTGTGCAAGCCACATACAGCGCTCGCCTTGGCACCGCTTTTTACACGCGAACTTTGTGGAATTCTTGGCCTCTGGCTCAACCAGGATGAGGGCGGGGTGTGTGGGAGGGGCAGGATGGTCATGGTTAATGCAGTGCCACATGTCTTCAGGATGTTTCCATAAAACATGACCTCATCTCTTCCAGTCCGCTGGTTATCATTACAGTGGTGGTCACTTTTGACTTAGTGGTTACAAAAACAATCCCTCGAATTACCAATGTGGAAATTCATAGATTGCACATAGATGATCCTGACCTCCCCGCAAGAGACCAGACGTTGGGGCAGTGACTGTCACTGTCTCCTCGACATCAGAACAAGTTATTAATTCAAGGAAAAACAAAGCAAAGCAAAACAAAACAAAACAAAACAATCTGGGCTGGATCAGTTTGACACATAGACAATGAAAGAGCTGGGGAAGGTTCTCCCTCTTGTGCTTTTTAAAATAACTGTAGTCCTTCATCCTAAACAGACAGCTGCAGTACGCTCAGTCGGAAGAGGAATTCATTTGTTCAGCAAAGATTTGTTATGCACCTACTGTGTCGTGGGTATACAAGACTGATGGAGTCTTACCAGGAGGAACAAGTTAATAAGCCAATAAGATAATTTAAAATGGAAAGGTTTTCAGAATGGAATTAAATGACATGACTCAATAGAGTGAGGTTTTCCTGTGAGAATCCATTATAAGTACAATAATGTAAAAGTGTGTATTGAAAGATAGTAGCTAATTGGGGAAAAGTAGCTAGTTACTTTTTTCTCTGGTACCGTGGATTGAACCCAGGGGCACTTAACCACTGAGCCACATCCCAGCCCTTTTTATATTTTATTTAGAGACAGGGTCTCACCGAGTTGTTTAGCGCCTTGCTAAGTTGCTGAGGCTGACTTTGAACTCAAGATCCTCCTGCCTCAGCCTCCTGAGCTGCTGGGATTATAGGCGCGTGCCACCACGCCTGGCTGGTTACTTTTTTGAAAAAGTCTTTTCTTTGTTGGGATTCTTGGAAACTCTTAGAGAGGGCTGTTCTCCTAGAAACTAGCTCTTAGCTGAAAAGAAGCCTCAAGTTATCACTGATCACGAACCAGCTGCCTCCTCTCACAGGGGGAAGCCCAGCCAAGCAGACCACCTGGGAAGGTGGGCACCGGGTCCCGGCCCTGGCTTACTGGCCCGGCACAGTCCCAGCCAACGTCACCAGCACTGCCTTGTTAAGGTATGAGACCCAAATGCCCTTGTGATGTGGGTTTAGAGCCAGAATGGTGGTGGGTGCTTGGGTGGCCAGAGAGTCCAGGAAGCTCGTGGCACCCACCTTGGAAGTATTTCAGATACCTCCCAAATTGGGGTGCAGCAGGAGGGATTTGCCCAAAGGCAATTCCTTATGCTAGTTAAAGGCAGGTACGGTGGGACTCAGCCACCCTGGGGATGACGGCCGAGTGAAGAAGGGACCTGGTTGTCACATGGGTCGGCGTCGGGTCCTGGCTGTGTCTGCTTCAGAGGAGGCAGCAGCACCTCGTCTCTGGGGTCCTGTTAGTCCACCGTGGGACTTGGGGGAGGTGGCCCAGGGCCAGATGTGAGAAGCCAGCATGTCACCGGCACCCAGATGTCCCAAGAAAGGAGTCCAGATGCCCCTTTCCCTGGAGGGGACCGGGGAGGGAGGTTGCTGCGGTAGGGGGTGGGTCCTTGGGTGAGGTGGCTCTCCCGCCTCTGCCTGCGCAGCTCCTCTGATGAGTCAAGGCTCAGAGAAGCCACTGCAGGGTGCACAGTAGCTGCCCCTCACCCAACGCAGATCCAGAGCCCGACTTTGTGGCAGAGAACTTGACTGCGGAGTGTCAGTCTGAGAGCAATGCCCTTGCCACCGTGGAACCTGACTTATATGGGGACTTCTGTTTTAGCTGGGCACGTCTTTTCTGTGGTTCTGCCTTGAATTCACCAACCGCCGCGACCCTCTGTGGAAGCCAGGGCTCATTCATGGTGTCAGGGCCTGGTCTGGTTCAAGAGCAGTTCCCAGCTGCAGAACTTCTTTCCTTTGCTTCCCCGCCACATTTTTTTTTTAATCTTTAGCCTGTTGGGTTCTGGCATGATGAGCACAGCAGATTAGAGGAAAGCAAGAGTCCCTGGCTCCCTCCAGCATCCCCAGACCCAATAGGGACACGGGGAGAGACTGGAGACCAGGGGAAGGAGGAGGAGTACACAGCTCCGAGCGGGGGATGGGTAGGCAGCATACCCTGCAGCCTGTGGGGCCCTCAGGAACTTGGGGTCAGCCCTGTGCAATCAGGAGGATGCAGTGTGCTGCCAGCAGGTGCTAGTAGGTGTGACAACAATGTCACAGCCTGGAATCTGTGATGTCAGGCTAACCAGGACAAAGGCCAGGCCGGCTGCCTTGGGTGTAGTGGTGCTTATCGAGAGAGGCCAAGTGTTCGCAGGCTGGGCTGCACCCACCCCAGCAGCCCTGCAGTCCCTCGAGCTGCCCTGTCTTGTTAATTGAGGGCCTTGGAGGGTGACGATGGATGGAGGGGACGGTTGGGTGGCCCCAGGAAATGAGTTCTTTGGATAAGGTGGCTTTTGTTTGAGGGCAGCATTTTACCAGGACGAGACCGACATGCCCTGTCCACCTTTCTTAGGATACCCGTGGTGTTCAGTGAGTCCAGACGGTGGCCTGACGGCTCTGCCTCGGTACAGCCTCCTCCTTGCTCTTTCCTGTGTGAATCCATATAAAGCAAATGTGGGCGGGGCTTCCTGGTGCCCTTGCCTTGGGCTCCCCCAGGTCAGCTCTAGGCCAGGGGGTTATGGTCTGCATTCAGGAGCCTGGTGCTCAGGCTTGGTGTTCCTGGGAACCCAGGTGCTTATCTCCTGTTCTAGTACTTTAATCCCCAAAGGCATAGAGCTTTCTGCAGACCAGAGGTAACTCCCATAAACAGAGCGGAGGCCAGAGTTCCTCAGCCTATATCCCAATGTCCCTAGGCATTATGGGATCCCGAGTTAGGCAAGTGGACATAAATGCTCATGTGTGGGGCAGAGCCAGGTAGTAGAAGCTCACAAGGAGACTCTATTGGCCTTAGTGTCCTGTGGCAGGGCTTGGGCCACAGGTCACCTTGGATCCATCGTCACCTGCCCGGCAGGCTGATGCCTCTGCTATCTAGGGTGGAGCACTGGGTGCTATTGGGTGTCCCCTGATGATCTGGGATCCCCGTTCTCAAAGGTCATGCAGCTGAGGCTGTAGTGGCCTCTAAGAGGGCTCCAGGGTGGGGGAGGTGCTGCCCAGACACACATGGATGTGGGCTAGCCCCCCAGCCAGCCCTCCAACCGCTACAGCATGGCCTCACCGGGAGGGGCTGCGGTCCTGGCCTGTCTCAGGGGTAGTGAGAGGGATGAGACAGAGAGAGAGGGGGGGGAAGGTGGAATGAGAGAGTGGACAGTGGTGCCCTCTGTCCTGGCCCCAGCCTCCAGTCCTCCTCGGTCAGCCCCTCGCCCCTCACTCTTCTCACTCCCTGGGTCCAGGTCATATCTGCTTCTTCCCAGATAAGCTGTCCTTGGCTTCTAGGAAACCATCCCTCTCAGCCTCTCCCTGGGCCCCAGAACTGCCCGTTGTGGCTGCCCTGTGGCCCTGCTGCCCGCTTCGTAGCCTGCCCAGCTTGGAGCCCTTCTTAACCCTCCTCGCCCTGGCTCCTTAGGCAACTCTGGATAAAAACACGAAGGAGCCAGTTCAGCGGCATGCACCTGTGGTCCCGGCTACGGGGGGGCTGAGGCAGGAGGGACCCAGGTGTCCCAGTCTGAGCAACATAGGGAGACCCCATCTCAAAAAAGAAAGGAAGGAAGCAAGAACACACGCGCACACACCCATTTCTCGTGAACAACCTTCAGAGCCTGGACTGGCCAGAGCTCTGTGAAGGAAGAAGAGAAGCTTCTCACAGCGGCTTGGAACTTGCAAAGATGCCGCCGCCCACTCTGCGCCCAGCCTCCAGGTCACTGTGCAGAGGCCCCTTGGCCCTCTCAAAGCAGGCTCTTGACTACCCTCCTCATAACCAAAAGGCCCCGGAACTGGGGCTTCCTCTTATCTGAAGCTCACCTGGCTCCCTGTCCAGAGCCAAAGTCCACAGGACGTGGAGGGCCCGGGCAGCTTTTAATTTCTTTTAAAATTCCAAGGAGAACACCTGAACTTTTAGGTGGAAAAAAATGGCTTAATGCAGACATTTTTATATACTCACCTTTACACCAATACAATGATGAAGTCTAATTTATTTTTATGGAAGGAAAGGTCCAAGAAGGCAAGCACACCCTGACCCTGTGAAAATCCCCCAAAGCCAACACTCTGCCAGAAGCCAAGTGCAGAAATGAACAACGTGAAAGTTCAGGCTTTTGCTTTTGCTTTGTTTGTTCTCTTTCTCAGAGGTTTCAAAGACTCCCGGGACCTCTTCCTCCCTCCCTCCCTCCCTCCTTCTCTTCCTTCCTTCTTTTCATACTGGGGATAGAACCCAGGGGTGCTCTACCACTGAGCCTCACCCCAGCCCTTTTTGCTTTTTATTTTGAGACAGGGCCTCCCTAAGTTGCTGAGGCTGGCCTCAACCTTGCCATCCTCCTGCCCCAGTCTCCAGAGTCTGGGATAACAGGTGAGCAATTCTTGGCTCCTAGGACCGGCTTTGAATTTAGGGCTTGAGATTTGGAGTAGCCAGGGTACCTTTGGTAGCCTTTGTAGGATAGATGCTCTCTCCAAATTCAGTCCTTCATCTGGCAGGGGTTTCAACTACCAGGGAGCATTTCCCCCTGACAGGGCTAACCTCAGAGACTTGGTCTTCTCCATCCCTTGAGGAAGGACTTGATAACCTGAGCTTGCCAACGCAGGGCTGGGCCGCCCTGAGCAGCATGACTCGACAGACCTATTGAAGTTGTTCTTGTTGGTAAGAGGTTTTCTTTGTGCTCTGGGTGGAGTAGGTGCCTCTGAGGATTCTGCCAAACTCTGGATTCTGTGAACGTTAGATTTAGTGCTAGATAATTACGATGCTAAGTCTCATGCTAGGGGGGAGAAAATTAGATGGAAAAAGAAAGTATACGTTATATTCCAAAGACCTAATGTAGGTTCTGTTTTTTCTTGCTTACTGATTTGACTCATCTGTGACGCTGATTCCTCTTAAGATGGAAAAAAATAGTGTAGAATTCATTCCAAAAATCTAAGGCAGATCCTGTTTTTCTTTCTCACTGATTTGACCCTGCGGATGCTGAGCGCTCTTAGGGGTGCAATTTAAAGAAAACTCATCCAACAGCCCCACACCATCGCAGCCTTTTCCGATGGCAGTGAAGTTCTCTGTGCTTCCCAGTTTGTGGCAGGAACCTTGGACTCTGGACAGGTTTCTGGACTGTTCTGTACTCTGTGAGCGCTGACTGTGCATCAGTGTGGGAGGCCAGCTCCTAGAGCATATCTCCCAAGATAAGCCACCGGCTCTGCAGACTGTGAAACCTGCCGGCAGATAGAAACGCTCTGTCCTGCGGTCAACAGATTCTGTCTGGCGTCCAGGGAGGAGGTGGGAGGGCAGGAGGAGCCCCACGCATGGCAGGTTCTCTCTGCCATCCCCTCAGAGGGTGAAGAGCCCCTCCCCAGACCTCAGGGTGGGGAAGGTGGGGAGCTGAGGCCTTTGTGGCCCTCCCAAGTATGAGCCCGACTTGTGTTGCTGTGCCCATCCGGGTACCGGGGCCTCCTCCTAGCCTGAGAGAGACCTCACGTTGGGCCAACCCTGTCAGTGGGTCTGGCTCTCAGATAAACAGGCCTGTTGGAAGGGCAGCCACTCTGTTCTTGCTGAAGAGTCCTTTCCAACATGAGCACAGAGGATCGGAGGGGGATGTGCAGTGGGGTAGGGTAAAATTGCATCACGTGACTTTAAAAAAGTCCCATTAACAAAACCTACCGAAATGTTAACAGTGACTGCCTTGGGGGGGATAGACCACGTGTGAGGTGTTCTCTTTTATGCTTTTGGATGCTCTAATTTCTTAGACCATAAACACTATTTTTATAATGGGAAAAAAAGAGCTAAAATAATGGGGGTAGCATGCTTCACATACCATGACTAGAGACTAAATATTTTTGAGACAGAGACCCACTCTAGGCGAGTGGCTGAGGCCTCGTGGAGACAGGTTGAACTTAGTTCCTAGATACATCCTGCCCCTTTCCCATGTGGGGTGCCTCTGTGAGTGAGCATAACACAAACATCCAATAAGTGCTTTCTGAGTGCCTGGTCGTCTTCTTTATACCCTACCTGTGTGTTTCATCCACACAGCTACCCACTGAGGCAGGTACTTTTACTAAAACACCCATTTTACAGAGTAGAAAACCGAGGCCAGTGCCTCAGAAGATAGACAGAGCTGGGATCCAAGCCCAGGTAACAGCTGGCTGCAGAGCCTGGGTGCTGAGCCACCACACCCATCTGCCTCCTGTCGTAGCAGAAGTTGAGGTAGATCCCAAAGGAAGGGCAGGCAGGTAGAAAGGGTGGGCCACAGGGAGGCTGTCAGTGTTGGCTCTGAGCTAGTTCAGGCGGGATTTGAGCCCAGCAGGGCCAGGGAAAGATCTGAGAGAGCTGGGATCGACCACATCTGGTTCCTTTTGCAGTGTGCTGGACATTTTCCCCACTGTGGTGGCCCTGGCGCAGGCCACTTTGCCCCAAGACCGACGCTTTGATGGACTGGATGCCTCTGAGGTGCTCCTGGGCAGGTCGCAGACGGGGCACAGGGTAAGTGGAGGGAGCATGTCCCCACGCTGGGCTCTGCAGGAGGCTGGCCTTCGGCCTGTCACCCAGCACCTGGTTGCCTCCGAGCAAACACGACCACCCTCAGAAGACAGATACAAGTGGCTGGTTCCGGAAACCTCAGATCCTTTGGGAGAATCCCCACCCCCACCCCATAATAAATCCTGTTTATTAATCTGAATATTTAACAATTGGCTAAGGGATGTGGATGTGAGTGCTTCTTATTCTCTATAATATTAGAATGATTTTTTTTCTGCATGCATTCATGCAGCTTAGATACCCAGCATGTTTTTGGATGAGATAATCTGATCATGGGCTGTCACTTGTTTATTGTGGGGTTCCCCAACTGGGAGGGAAGCTTTCCAAGGGCAAGGGTCCTGGCTGTTGGGTTCACCTCTAAATTCTCAGCACACCTACCACACCTGCATCCAGCCAGCATCCAGTCAATGCAAACTGGGTGAACAACTGAATAAAGACCTCTTGGACAGCAGGGACAACAATGCCCCTGACATTCCCCTGGCTCCGGGAGGGCTCAGCACACATTCTGCAGCCTGATCTTGACCAAGCAGCCTTAACCCAGCAGCCCCCCAAAATGGCTTCCGGCTTCGACTTCCCGGCATTACTTCCTCAGTGTCCCCTGTTTGGAAGCCCTTCATGGCAGCAGCAGCCAGGAAATGTCAGTCCTGATGGCCTTTCCCTGTCATTTCCATGTGTTTGCCTTTCACCAAAGGAAGAGGAAGTGGGAGGAGGGAAGGCGTGTAGAGGAGCTTGGAGGCCCCTGCATAAGGCCCGGCAAGCACCTGGCTCTCTGTTGGGGACTCACACTTCAAAGGGTCTATTTATGTCTTCGAGGGTCACATGGAAGTGACTCAGATGTGCTCAAGTGCACCACTGGCTGGTGCTTATTTTATTTATTTTATTTTATTTTTGGAACTGGGGATTGAACTCACGGGCACTTGACCACTGAGCCACATCCCAGCCTTATTTTGTTTTTAGAGACAGGGTCTCACTGAGTTGCTTAGTGCCTCCCTTTTGCTGAGGCTGGCTTTGAACTTGCCATCCTCCTGTCTCAGCCTCCTGAGCCCCTGGGATTACAGGCGTGTGCCACCGCACCTGGCTGGCTGGTGCTTATTGAAGCAGCCCTTCCCTCCCAGCGTCCCCTGGCCACGCAGAACACTGGCCCTCAGTGGCTCAATAGGCCACTGGTGCTTCTTTGCACGTTAATTCAGTTCTTAGTTGTCAGATTAGGCTGGAAAGGGCCTCTGAAGATGCTGGCATGCCACAGGATTGTTGCAGAGCTGCGCACCCCTCCAGGTCTCTAATCAGAGGCCGAAGCAGGAAGATGGTTTCCGCTTTGAGGCTGGAAGTTAGCACGGTGTGACCCTGGGGGGTTATCCAGGACGTCAGCGGAGAGGTGCTGCTCAGTGTTTATTGCCATGGCTACTAACAGGATAATTGGGGTCACCAGGAAGTGCTTCAAGAACTGTGGTCTCCTTGACGTTGTTGGTCGGCCTGTGGATGCCAGCTCCTGCGCGCACTCACTTCCGTTCCCAGACAGGGGAGCGCGCACTCTCTTCCTCTGCTCACAGCTTTGCGCAGACTCATGAGGGGCCCCAGACCAGCCAGTGCGCACAGGTTAGGCCCAGGAACCAGGTGGGAGAAGCCGATGCAAGTCCCAACATCATCATGGGGACCTGTGTTGTGCGCCAGCGCAGCTGGAGTAGGGGTCAGTTTGCTCCCAACCAAGCGCAGAGGTCTCAAAAGACACAGCCAGCGAGCTTCTGCCTGCAGGAAGCGCTGAGGTGTCTTCAAGGGTAAAAGCGCGTGGGTGCTGGCACCTGGGGGCCACGCCCAACTTCCCAGGCAGCCGACCTGTGATGTTAGTGGAGACACTTGAGATAAGTCTGTTTGGAGTCTGAGGGTACCGTGTGTCGTTTCTGGTCCAGAATTTAGGCTTGGTCTTCTCTGGTCAGCTTCTCTCTTGAACTGAAATAATAGGATTAAAGAGACTAAATGGTCTTGAACTTGGAATGGCTTTAGGGAATACCAGCAAGTAAAAATATGAGTGTGTTTTTGAAAAATATGGATATCATGACACATGACACCCCCACACATTCATCTGTGTATATCATTCATATGTATTTCTTAACATAGTCTGTGTCCACCCACAGATATGTCCTCCTCAGCTTACAAGAGTTCCAGTATGGGTTGGTTTAGAAAACCATTCTGGTTTCTAGAAGCTCAAAGTACCCTCTGGACAGTCAGCTCAAAACAATATACAGGTGCTTATCAGCAGATAGGTTCTTCCCTCTATCGTAAATCAAGTAACCCAGGGTTAAAGAAATAAGCCACCTGGAGTCACCTCCCCTAGGGCCACCTCCCCAGGCCATGGGTTTCGAGGTGTGATGCACGTAGCGTTCATACCTACTTCATCCCCCTCCTGGGACATCATGTCTGTGATGGTCAAAACCCACAGCAGCTGACACTCGCTACATATTCGCCACGGTCAGCCTCTCACTTCAGAGACAGAAGCTGGTAGGTAGTCTCCCCAACACCAATCACTTCTCTTAGGGAGGCCCCTAGTGGTGAAAGAGGTCATCTAGAGTGACAGGCTAAATGACCCACGGCCTCCTCCATCCACCCTTTGGGAGACTTCGGGCTGTGCGCCCCTGGCCGGGGTGAAGGAGCCCACATTCTAGTGATACTGTTTAGGGTTGGCTCCCAGGACCTATCATAAGGGGAGTCCTGCATGGCTGGGAAAACAAGAAGCCAGGTGCCTGTAATACCAGCCTCTGGGGAGGCCCCCGGAGGAAGGATCACTTGAAGCCAAGAGTTCAAGGCCAGCCCGGCTACATAGGGAGATCCTGTCTCAAACAAACAAACCCGAAACAACAAAAACAAGCCAGTCCACCAAGAAGGCCACGGCAGGCTTGTGAAGATAAGATCATTTTTGAAATTCACCCAGGCCTCTGGAGAGGAAATATCTCAACTGATTCCTACTTAAACTTGCCAACCTTCTTCCTATGCTGAGGTGCATGAGAAAGCCATAACACGTCTGCTCAACAGAAAAACGTGCATGCGAGTTCCTCTGCATCCATCCACATTTCCAAAAAATGACCCATCCCACAGTTCTGCTTCCTCTTGGATTCTGGAAGTTACTTCTGGTCGGGCCCCAAACATATTCAGAATATGGCAGCCCACCCTCATGGGTTTCTGTTACCCAAACGGTATTGACGGTTTGAAGTGGCCAACCTTGACTCCCCTTTTCTGGAGATCTGAATACAACATAGATTGGTTGACAGCAGATGGTCCAGCCCTCACCTTTGTGCATCCCAGGGACACACAGCAGTGTTCCACCGAGTGGAGTAGCTTTCGATGAGGGATGGAGGAAGTGAGGGTTTCAGTTAGGACGTCTTTTCCTGTTTGGAAGGAGCCTGCTGTCATCACAAACAGTCGGGGTGTTTGCAGGGGTTGACAGCACAGATCATGAGAGCAGCAGGTGGGGGTCCCTGCCCTGAGCAGCATCCTCTCAGGGCTTAGGAACTTGTGGGACAGATGTTTACGGCTCCAACAGATGTTTCTCATATATTTTTTTTTTTTTTTGGAGCCCCATGGAAACTCTGAATCACGTAAGTGTCTTTCCAGCAACATATACAGTCATGATTCATACCAGGGCAGTCTCATGCTTCCAGCCCAAACCCACCAACCTACAAAGAATTCTGGCCTTTTATTTCCTACCAAATGCTTCCCTGGAGAACTCTGAATTAGGTGTTTCCGTTCTTTAGGGTAATTCTTGCATTTATAACTCGATGAGGAAAGATTTCCTCTGTCTCAGTACAGTAGGATTGAGTCACAATCCTAGGCTGTGGCCTGGGGGGTGTAGCCCCGTGGTAGGGCACTAGCCTTGCGTGTGTGAGGCCCTGGGTTTGATCCCAGCACTAAAAACAAACAAACAAAAAATACACAGGTCCAGAGACTAGACTGTGCCTAGTGCTGGGGGAATTAAGGCTTTCTTTCTCTTGTACTGTCCTTGCTCAAGGGTCTGGTGGAAAAATGACTTGAAGCTGAAGGAGTCTTTTTTTCAAAAAGATCTGAGGGTCACCTGCATCAGAGGCGCTGGGGATGTTAGTGAATCAGGCAAGTCAGCAGGCTCCTTTCTGTACCTGAGGGATGGGGCACAGGCAGGACTGGCGGGCATCCCCACCCTTAGGAGGACCCTGAGCTTGGTTTAAAGCTCTGCCCTGGTTGTCTTGAAATTTTCAATTTGTGAACAAAGCATCCCTGATTCTCACTTTGCCCTGGACCCTGCAAATTACAGAGCAAGTTTCACTAGATGGTCGAGAGGCCTCCCGCTTCTCTTTAACAACTAGCAAAATAACACTTCCGTGCGTCTCCTGGCTGGCTACAGGCCCGTGTCTGTCAGTGGGTGTGGGGTGGGGTCCTGTGGACCAGGAGAGCAGTGCTGCACAGGGAGTAAGCCCTGCTGTCTTTTCCAGGTGCTGTTCCACCCCAACAGCGGTGCAGCTGGAGAGTACGGAGCCCTGCAGACTGTCCGCCTGGAGAGGTACAAAGCCTTCTATATCACCGGTGAGTGGGGGCCGCCCAGCCCTGCCTCCTGCAGGCAGGAGCACCTGTGTGGGGGCTCTTGGGTTCTTACTGGGGCTTCCAGGAGTTACTGTGAGCTGTCCTCCTCCGAGGAGGTCAAAACACCTCTGACGGTGCCAGCCCCACGCCCAGGCCTGGCGGAAGGACCCAGCACGGCCCTCGAGACACCAGTACACCAACAAGGTCTTCCTGCTGGTTGCCTGAACTTCCAGCCGACTCCTAGCTCTCAGCACTTCTGGTCTGTTCCTTCTCATGTGAGAGAATGTTCCAGTGTGACGCTTTCTTTTTTCTTTTCTGGTTTGAGGCGTTGAACCCATGGGTGCTGTACCACTGAACCACATTGCCAGTTCTTTTTCTTTTTCTTTTTTGGTACTGGGGAGTGAATCCAAGGGCACTGTATCCTTGAGCCACATCTCCAACCCTTTTTATTTTATTTTATTTTTTATTTTGAGACAGGGTCTCACTAAGTTGTGGAGGCTGGCCTTAAACTTGTGACCCTCCTCTCTCAGCCTCCTGTTAGCTGGGATTACAGGCGTGGCCACTGCGCGCCGCCTGGCTTCCATTGTTGTACTTTAAATGCCAGTTTGGCTGGACATGAAATGGAAACCTAGAGATATTTTAAAGTGTAATTTACTTGACAATAAACTGTTTCAGAAAATAGATTTCAGAGGTTTATTTAGCAGACAGAAGTCTCTTTTCTTCTTGGTTCACTCCATTGCTCCTTGGATTCCTCTATGGCCCTTAAATGTATAGTTTAGAAATGTCATTCTTGAACATTTCTCAGAATCTTCCAGTGACTTTTTTCTGCCAGCTGAAATCAGACTCCCTGTCCTGGACCCGGGGCTTCCGGTCCCAGCTCTCCAAGAGCAAGATCCTTTGTCCTTGGCTTCCATGTTAAAATCCCTCTCGGCAACGAAGGTTCCAAACAAAATGCCTCCTTGGTTGTAAAACTCTCTCTTAACTTTCCAGGTGGGCAGGATTTGGAAAAGTCGTGTATCTGTCACATTGTCACCTATGATGTCATTTTTGCACTGGCTCTATTTCCTTGACTGGCTTTAAGCTCTCTCAACACAGAACTCAGGGCTGGTGGTGTATGTAGCTCATACGTGTCTGGCTTGCCCTGGGTTCCATGCCCGGCAGCACTAGAAGCCATCTGAACCCAGAATTCTTTAGGCTCTTTTATTTTTATTGGCCTGAAGTGCTTAACCCACGGTCTTGTACAGTAAGACAATGAAGATGAGCTGAGAGCGGTGGCACAGACCTATAATCTCAGCAACCCAGGAGGCTGAGACAGGAGGATGGCGCGTTCAAAGCCAGCCTCAGCAATGGCAAGGCGCTAAGCAACTCAGTGAGACCCTGTCTCTAAATAAATACAAAATAGGGCTGGGTTGTAGCTCAGTGGTTGAGTGCCCCTGAGTTCAATCCCTGGTACCAAAAAAAAAGATGAAAGAGCCCAGAGATTTCTAACATGTAAATGTGGGAATCCTAACATGTTTTAAAAAGAATGAATGAAAAAAAATTAAAAAGCCAAAAATCTGGGATAAGATGCAGATTCCAGTTTGATGTAGTTATTTAATGTTGGAGATTTTCAAAGAAATAAAACCAAAAATTATTTTCTCTGGGTGTAGGTCAGTGATCCCAGAGAAAATGTGGCGTGAAAAAACACAACTTTTTTTAAAATTTATAACTCAAGGGATATTAAAAATGTCACAAGAATCTTTGATTCTCTAAAACCCAAAACAAAACAGTCAGATATTTGCTGTGGTTTCAGATGAAAGTTCCTAGATGAAAATCCTTATATTACATGATCTAAGAGGTATGGGACTCCAGGCCGAGTTAATTTCAGAATAACCCTGCCAGAAGAGCCCTTGGCACCACGATAGTGGAATCATAAATGTCACTATGAAGTAATAGGCTGTTTAAAGAGATCACAATCAGACAGGAATTCCAATCCCCAGGGAAGGTCTTTTCCTCTGAGGAGCCACCAGGCACCCAGGGTAATCTGGGTGGGGACACTTGGACACCACATATTTGATAAGAATTGGGAACAGGGTGAGACACGAATGTGTTTGAATTCTTCCTTAAGCCCCCACCCCCACTGTGAAAAATTTGCATCCTAATTACTTAAAACTGCTTTTGGATAAGCTAGATAAATTGACATCTGCTACATTAGATTAGAGAACAATGTGTTCTTGTGTCTTGAGGATGCTGATGTTGTGGTCATGAACTAGGAGTGGCCTCTGTTTTGGTGTGTGTGACCTACAGTTAAGGTACCTCATCCCACCCCACCCCACCCTGCCCCGCCCCGTCCCATTAAAGTAATTAAGGCAAATTTCACATAGTGAATGGCATAGATCTAAAACGTGCAATTTGGTGAGTTCTCCAGTGTCTATGCCTGCACAGGTACCCCAGTGCTGTGAGTTACATTGACCATCTTCAGATGCTGAGCCAACTTGGTATTACCGGACAAACCCACTTAGTCATGATGTTGTATTATCCTTTTTATATTTTTATGGATCAGATTTGCTAAGATTTTGTTTTTAATTTTCCCTTCTTATCATGTCTGTTCGGGATTGGGTTTTTTCTGATCTCATAAAAAGAGTTTAAAAGTGTTCCCTTCTCTTCTGTTTTCTGAGAGGGTTTGTGCAAGATTGAATTCACCCATGAAACTTTGCCAGCTCCAAGATTTTGCCCTATATTTTCTCCTAAGAGATTTTGTCATTTTAGGCATTACATTTATATTTTTGATCTGAGTTAGCTTTTGTTTGTGGGTGTTAGGGAAATGCCCAATTTTCATTGTGTTACATGTTGATATCCAATTTTCCTCATACCATTTGTCAAAAAAGAACATTCTTTCCCCCATTGAATGGTCTTGTCACCCTCGTTGAATATTATTTATTTAATAATCAACATATTTGTAAGGGGTTTTTCTAGGCTCTCTCTTCCATTAGTTTATAGGTCTGTCTTTAAATGTCACTACCATACTGTTTTTTAAATTTTTTTTATGTAGTTGTAGATGGACAGCATGCCTTTATTTTACTTATAAATTTTTAATGTGGAGCTGAGGAACAAACCCAGTGCCTCACACATGCTAAGCAAGTGCCCTGCCACTGAGCCCCAGCCCTACCATACTGTTTTGATTATTGTAATTTTGTAGTTAGGTATGGAAATCAGGAAGTGTAAGGCTTTCAGCTTTATTCTTCCTTTTCAACACTGTTTAGGCTATTCTGGGTCCCTTGAGGTTCCATGAGGATTTTATAATGGGCTTTTATATTTCTGAAAAAAAAAATCATTGGGATCTTGGTAAGGGTTGCATTAAATATGTATGTCACTTTGAGTGGTATTGGCATTTTAATAATTTTAAGTCATTCATAAATATAGTATGTTTTTATTTATGTATTATTTAATTTCATTCAGCAATGTTTTATACTTTTCATCGTATAAGTATTTGCTTTTTTGGTTAATTCCTGCTTTATTCTTTTTTTTTTTTTTGAAATGGAACTGTTTTTATACTATCCTTTTCAGATTGTTCATTGTTAACATCTATAAATATAACAGATTTTGTGAGTGTGTGTGTGTGTGAGAGAGAGAGAGAGAGACTTGTAGGGTTTTCTGTATACAATATCATACATGAAAGAGATTATTGTACTTCTTCCTTTCCAATTTTGATTTAAATTTTTTTTCTTGTCTAATTGCTCTGGCTGGAACTTGCAATACTATGTGAAATAGATGTGGCAAAATTGGGTATCTTTGCCTTGTTTTAGAGGCAGCATGTGTAGGAAAAAAACTTAGGTAAATCAACATTTGAGTCTCTCTGACCCAGGTGATTTATTTAACTTTTCTGGTATCTTAGTTTCCCATATTTAAAATATGGTCAGTAATGTGGGTTTTTTTCTGTTTTTTTTTTTTATTATTATGAAAGGGTATTAAATTTGGTCAGAAGTTTTATGTACATTAATTGAGATGATCATGAGTTTTCCCCCTTTGTTCTATTAATGTGACATATTGCAGTGACTAACTTCCATCTGTTGAACCATCCTTGCATTCCAGGAATACATCTCAATTGGTCTTTTAACATGCTGCTTAATTTGAGTTGCTAGAATTTTGTGGAGGATTTGTGTCAATGTTCATAAGAGATTCCTGTCTGTGGTTTTCTTGAAGTGTTTTTCTGGTTTTGGTTCAAGGTAAATACTGCCCTCATAGAATGAGTTAGGAAGTATTCCTTCCTCTTCAATATTTTTGGAAAAGCTTGAAAAAAATATCAATATTAGTTTTTCTTTAAAATGTTTAGCAGAGTTCACTAGTGAAGTCATCAGGTCTAGGGATTTTCTTTCTTAATAGATTTCTTTTTTGCTTTGGTTTTGGTGATAGGGATTAAACCCAAGTCTTCATGAATGCTAAATAAACACTGAAACTCTGCTACACCCAAGCTTGTCTGTAGATTTTTGATTACTGATTTAGTCATCTCCTAATAGTTATAGGTTCATGCAGGTTTCATATTTTTCTTTATGATTTAGTCTCGGGAGGTTTTATGTTTCTAGTAATTTGAACATTTTATCTAGGTTATCCAGTTAGAGGACATTTAATTCTTCATAACATGCTCTTATACTTCTTTTTATTTCTTTTGGATCATGAGCAATATTCAGCTGTCATTTCTGATTTTAGTAATTTGGATCTTCTATTTTTATTACTCTACCTAACTAAAAGTTGTCGATTTTATCACTTTTTTCAAAGGACCAACTTTTGGATTCACTGATTTTTTTCTTCATTTTTTGAGAGGAGGATATACTAGGGGTTGAACCCAAGGGTGCTTAATCACGGAGAAACATCCTCAGCCCTTTTTTAAATTTTTATTTGAGACGGGGTCTCACTAAGTTACTTAGGCTTTGCTGAGTTGCTGAGACTGACCTCAAACTTGTGAACCTCCAGCCTTAGCCTCCCAAGTCCCTGGGATTATAGGCATGCATCGCTACATCTGGTTA